CAAAAAGCACCATAGAAAACACTAAATTTCCCTTGTGAGGCCGGCCGTGGTATGACGGAGAGACACAGCGCTGCGAGGAGAGGGAGAACGCGAGATAGTACGTCGTACGCGAGAGGACGCAGAGACCACGTATGCCGTGGTGATAACGCTGGCAGCACGGCAGCACACAATGCAAGGTCCTTAGCGCCATTGCCTCGCACTTTTGAGTCGCGACAGTGTCGCGCCCTCAGTGCTTGGGGAGCCCACTATCGCACCCTGGGAAGAACTTCTGCTGGTTGCCTAATCCTGACTCGTGGCTTTAATATGTGCTGGTGGTGTGCTTTTAATGCTGATGCTCGTGATTTCAACTCCGCAATTACGACGGGCTTCTTGCCGAGAAACACAAGGAGCTCATTACAGTCAGCCTGCAATGGAAGAATCTATCTATAGCTTCACCACCAGCACTTCAAATACAGCGGAGACTGAAATAAGGTGCCGTGCAAATACGGTAAACAGGAATGCTGGGAAGCATCTAAATATTCAATGTTTGCTTCAGAATTTCAATAATTTTTATTGCCGCTAAGGGTTTAGATCTCCTTACGTAACTATGAATAATGCTGAACTATGCGTGCAAACAATCTCTCTCTTCTCCTTCGAATTTCCCGGCCAGCTGCAAAATTCCTATGTTGAACGTCTTCGACGGTTGTTTGGCGTCCGTGATGTATTGCGATGGAACGAATATCGTTAGCTTCCGTTGACAGGGCTATAAAGATCAGCATAAATGTAGCATATGTATGTAGATGCACTTGAAGCAGTCAGTTAGCTTTTTGTCGTAGTTTGCCTTCGCTAATGTAGAACAGGAGCTTAGGTTAGGTAGCACACCTAAAGCTTTTGAGCTTCTCTAGGAATTCCTATTCATGGTGAGCTAAATGACGAGATTTCCATTTTGCCCAGAAACAGTCAATGAGGAAAGGCACTAATAAATTGTTAACAGTTTTTGCATAAAGGGTCAACCCTAGTCGGCATAATTGGAGTAGATGCGTACTGGTATTAGGGCGCATCTTTTCGGAATTATAAGGGAAGGTCTCCAGACGGAAGACACGAGAAAAATTGCCTGGTCACGGACGTATTGATGTCCTGCTTCACCCTTATGAATATGTCTCCGATCGGGAAATAATTTAGTAAGACGAACGAATAAAGAGAGGTTGAATCATTAACTATGAAAGGAAATCAATATTCAGGCATAGTAAAATTAAAAGTACCTAACTGCAGCTCACCTTTATGCCGTCATCACAGTCGTGGTAAATATTCAACTTCGGCTCGATGGCGCCAATCTGAAGTACAAAGGCACTGTGGATAACAAATAATATTCGCGCTCGTTTATTCGACTTGATTTGCCTTGTTTTGTTTGTTAACTGCTGTTTTTGGCCGAAGTTCGCCTTGTGAATGTTTCACAAGTTAGTGCTGGGGGAACAAAACTTCTCGCCCCACCCCGGCGGGTCTAGAGCCGCCCCACCGCCTTTCGGCAAACAGTGCGCTATCAGTACCGCTTTCCGAGCGCACCATCCTCTCATCCCAACCTCACCTTAACCATGAAAATGCTGACGTTGCGGATGAAAATGGGGTGAGGTATGTTATTAATCTTGAAAAGGCGGTGCGGGCCTCTAGACCCGCCTGGGTGGCGAAAGTTTTTGTTCACAACCCAGCATACTAGTGAGACTTGATTTGCATAGAACTTATCCCTAGCCGCCTGCACCCACCAGCTTTGACACTCTTTTAAAAGGTCTATTTTACCTGGCGCGCCGGAATTTAGATATTCTAAGTCTCGATTCTGAAACTTACCTCATCAGCAATGGCCACCAGTTTGAACTTCACCGTGCGCTGCTCAGACTCAGCCGAGTCCATGAGTTCGTCTGGTGTTACTGAAATAATCTGTTTAACCAGATGCAGCGGATGTAGGCGCTCATCTCATGGTCAGAACTCTTGATACTGATGTAATCTACTAGTTAGTGAACACTAATAAAAAATAATCTTACCTAAAGACCTGTTTTGTTTATTAGCTGCTATTTTAATGCAGCAGTTTAGTACACTGCATGTTCGCTGTACACGGTCTTATTATTGCAGGGTAGCAATGACTGTGCTTCATAGGAAGATTCCACGATTTAATGACGAGGTGAACCCAACGGCGGAAACTTAACTTAGTGGATTAGAAAAACGGACCTCCAAGAACTGTGGCACGTGCAATTCGCTGCTGCTGCGAATCTAGCATGGACTTTTACGCGGCGCTATTGCGCGCATGTCTGGTGCGGTCGCTCTAGCTTCCGCTGTTCTGAGCATCTTAGCCGATTTGATTAGAAGAGTGCTAGCTAGAAGAGGGCAATACCGATGAGAGTCGCATCAGTGCGGAAATAAATGATCAAGGAAGTGGTTCCATACTTCGTGCCGTTTCCTTGTTTTTTTTTTCTTTTCGTCCATTCTCTGACCATCTTCTAACTTAGTTTCCATGGGCCGACTCGTTTTTGAGAAAATGTTTATTATCATAAGAGATCAGCAGTGGTTAGCATCAGAGCAGTGCAGAGCGAGCCTAATGACAAAGCCACCCGTTTATCAATTATTCACGCAGTTCAAGTCATGGCGCACTCCAAACGAACGTATGTAAGGCACACCACACGATCATACTTGGGTGATTCTCGCAAATGAAAATGAAAGCGGGACGAACGATGTGGACCGGTAGTAAAGAAAAAAGGGAGAGAATCTGTCAAAGCACTGAAATTAAGATTATTCATCAAAAATATAACTGTAGTTAGGCATACGAGCACAAGGCGTGGGGAAGAGACGCCTTCTTAAAGATAACGGAGTGAAACAGTCGCAGACCCGCATGTTTGCGCAAAGAAAAAATGGAGCAGATCGGCAAAGCGTCTTGCAAGCCATTTAGCTGCCTTTCTTCTTGCGTAATTTTCGAGCTGTAAGAAGGGGACATCTTGGAGTTTCGTGTACAGCTCTCCTATCCACTGCGGGTGCAAGCTCACCATGGTGCACGACTAACGAAGTGGTAATGGTACTCAATATTTCAGAACTTCTGAAAACCCACTAGTATCATGCTCAAAAAGTTTGACCAGAACATTCCGAGCTGGCTTGTCTTCACACATCAGAACACCCTCGACGGCTGTCGACTGAGTGCGGCCGATAGTTTGAGCGAAATTCACGAGTGTCAGAAGTATGAACGACGTCAGCAACATAGCGGGGGAACTGCACTGAAACATCACTAGCGGAAGTATGCACAAAACTTCTCGAATAATTGAAACATGGATAATCAGAACTAAGAATGCATTTAAAATCAGAGCCAAAACAGTTCAATACATCGGCGAAACTCTCTCTGAAGTGTGTCTCACTAAATATCGGAGCGTGATGAGATCGTGTAAGAAAAATACATTCAGATTTTGCGGACGTTAGAAGTTTTTAATCATAAACCGGCCGCTTAGGCTAATTATGGTTTTTGCTTTCGCGCTAAAATTTTGTATTTGTCCGGATATGCGGCCACCTCCGAATCGTATAAATATGAACAAGTGACACAAATACACTGTACGAACCCGTGAAAATCAATCATTGTAGAAGTGAAAGCACAGCGTTCAGGAATCGACATGCTAATGATTAATTTGGTAGGGCAGTCAATACGTGAAGTGTGACGAACATTCGGTAGGGGAGAACCTGTTTTGTTGTTATAAGGCCTCGTGTAGCGCATGAAAACTCTTCACTGATCGTCCAATTTTGCCTCTTCTTGAAACCTTGGTATGTTCAGATAGTACAGATAGTAGTCGATTTTTCCGTTCCGAGCAGGTTTTTATGCTGAAGCTTTTTTGAGCCAACATTTCGACTAGATCGTCGGCTTCAAAGGCCTCAACTTCACCAGCACCCTAGAGCCTAAAATTAATTTTATTTCGGCGTGGAGCAGGCTTCGGGGTGCTTGGGGAGTTAAGGCCTTTGAAGAGAACGGTCTGGTCGAAAGGCGGCTCAATAAAAGCTTTAGTAGAAAATACCTGTTCGGCACAGGAAAATCGTCCACTCCCCTGAGATGTCGTTGGTGTCGTTGACGTTTAATTATTAGACGATAGAGTGCGTTCATAAGTTTGCCTGATATATACCCTGGGCGGAAGTGGTGTAGTGGCAAGTGGCACGCTTACCACGCGAGCGGTCCGGGGATCAAATCCTGGGTCGTGAGTCGCCCGGGCCAACCAAGCCTTCCATCCCTCCGGGGTCGGTTAATTGGTACCAGACTTGTCTGGGAGGATAAAAACACTGACTTGTACATCGGCTGGCCCCCGCAAGTCATTGTATAGGCCACATCGCATTCAAACGCCACTACGAATGTACAAATGGAAGTAGAATGCGTGCCGCATCCCAAAAAGGGATTGATCAACGGCAAATGCTTTATCCTTTATCCTTTAACATTGCAGTCATCTTTTTATTCAGAGAACTCTACTGATAACATGAGAAAATAAAGAAAATCTAGAAAAAAAAAACAACCATTCGTAACGATTCTCTTCTGCAGGGCCTCTTGCGTAAATGGTGTAGCGCGTAGTGGGTTTAGGTTGAATTTCTTATCTTTTTCTTCAGAATGAGAGGCTATATTTTTGCGTGATCCCCCTCACATATCAGTCTCCCCTCATATTCTCATGTAATGGGAAAAATTACATTTGTAGTGCGTACATACTCATTTTGTTTCGGTTCTTACTGTGTATTGTTTCGTTGAAAAAAGGGCTGAAAAATCTGTTCTGGGATCGTAATAAATGAAGAGCTGAAAGTAAGCTTTCCGTAACTAATATGGCTTGTGTCAGTACTTTCTCCTACAACGGATTCATTGCGCTCTTTTTTCATTCATATTCGAGTACTGGAATGATGGAAGTACTACGTTGGAAAGAAAGTCCTGCAACACACTTGTCCCGAAATTTCCTTTTTTGAGCTTTCCTTTTTTTCTTTTCCTTTTTTCTTTTCGTAGGCAACATTTGTGACCAACGAACGGGGTAGCGCATTCTCGAACTTTCCATCCACTCGTTGAATATAGGCGCTGCAATCAACAGTTATCCGAAAAACTTTAAAAA